AAAATCCGGTTTCCTTGGTCTGTAGGTCCTTGAAAACATATTCATTAAAAATCCATGTTTTATTGTTCCGAGGGTCCTTGAAAAAGTATTCTTTCAAAATCCACATGTTACTTGTCTGAAGGTTCTTAAAAAATATTCTTTAAAAATCCATACTTTATTGTTCTGAGGGTCGTTGTAAAAAATATTCTTTGGAGCAAAATCGGATTATCCTTTCTCTTTCTGTGCAATAAATTATTTTATTTATTTTTTTTTTTTGAAAATTTAGATATTTTGTGTGGGAGGTACCAGAAGGGGTGGACCAATATTGCCCATTTCTGAAATCGATCTAAGTTTGACAATAATTTTACGATGTACCAAGTTTGGATCAAATCGGATACTCCCTTCGAGAGTTATCGTGCGTACCGGCCAGCCTGACAAAGAGACAGCCAGCCAGATAGACTCACGGACGAACCTCGCTAGATCGACTCCAAATTTCCTGAAACGGGTTTGGTCCAAAGAGACCTAGGGTCTAAAACCGTTATTTCGAGGAGGCACGTTATGGCCGTATCAAATGATATATACCCTCTGTAGCCATATGGCTGAGGGTATAAAAAAATATTTTAAAAATTTGGGTTTCTTTCTCCAACAAATAAAATGTCTCCCTTGTTCTGCCCTTTAACTTGACATTTCTGCCAATGGTTTGGCTAACTTATCTCCTGACTCATTGCGATTAGCTATTACCTAATCGATTAGCTGAAAAAGTAGATAAACATCATCTACCTTTTGACCAGTCCTCAAAATAGGAATTGAATATAATATTTTTTTTCTGGCTTTGTATTAAGTTCAGTCTCACTCGAACGTGGCACAATGCTCCAACGCTGGTGGTTCCAGGACATTGTCATATTTTGTATAGTTGTCAGCAGCCTTACCCTGTATTTGGATTTGGCCAAACGTCAAGTCAAACATCTGCGAACTTGGCTAAAAACTCTTGTCTATATGCCAATAATTGTTATTGCTATTCTCATGCCATTTTCGTTGGAGGAGACCTTTAAAATGTCTCATCAATATTTAAGCAATCCGGTCATAATTTATGCCAACAACACCACGGCCATGGCAAAAATGGTTTTGTTTCTCGTCTTTGCCCTGACCATGCAAGGCAGGGATAGAAATTTGGAAAAATGGCTGGAGACGATGATTGAAATCCAAACGAGCTATTTTGATCGCTATCCGAGCAGAGGCGTTGCCAAGGATATGTCACATCGTAAGTGGCTGTATCTCAGCAGTGGCATCGCTGTGTTGCACTATGTTTTAGAATCGATAAGATCTTCGATTAAAAATTTCGCCACGGAGGATGCAAACATTGCATGTTTTACATTTTTCTTATTGCTAACCCTGCAGCACACGCTGATGCTGGTCCATGGAACCCTGCTGTGCCATTTGCGTGAATGCTTCTCCGTTTTGAATATCCAAATGGCTGGAAAATCCCATGATCCCCAACTGCCATTTATCTACAATCGTTTGCGTTGCCAGTATCGGGAGCTGAATCGGTTGTATGGCCCCAGCATGTTGGGGGTAATTGTCTGCCTGCTGCTCTACAATTCCATGGTGGGCTATGTTGCCCTGGTCATACTGCTGATTCCCGATGTGGATGGGGACAGTTTCCGTTACCTCTTTGGCAGCCTCTTCTATGGTTTCCTGCTGCTGCATTGGTATATTTATTTTATGCTGTGCCAAAAGGTGGAAACAACCATCAGGGACATTGATGTGATTCTATGTGAATATGCCATCGATGAGGGCCAGGAGAGTGGAAAGCAGGTAAGGCAGGGCCCAAAAAGTAGAAAAGAAAATATGTCATTTCTTTGATTTCTTTCAGCTTGAATTACTGGTCTTTTGTCGCAGCTTGCACCAGGCCTCGGTGAATTTTTGCGGCATCATCGACATAAATTGGAGTTCGCTGTTTTGCATTCTGGCCCAAACGATAGCGTACATTATAACTCTGATTCAATTGGATTATGTTAATTTGATATGAAACACTTGAGGGTGGGTTTTTTTTGTTAAAAGTTCTCGCAAAATAAACTGCAAACGGAAAATTAATAAATCAAATAAAAGGGCCAATGGGGCGTATGAGTGGTGACAGCACTCATACGCCCTGGTTGGTGAGCTGAGTAGATTTCTTTGATTTTCGGATTATTCTTGTATGAATTGTGATGGATTTTTTCCGGCGAGTTTTGTTTGATTTTCTCGCCTTTGGATTGAAGTGACCTTTGGAAAATGCACGTTTACTGGTTTTATGGATTATTAAAAAAGTCCGCAATTGTTGGTCCTTTGAAGATTTTTTTAAAATCCAATTTTTTTTTTTAACGGATTTATAAAAAAACTTTATTATTATTGATACTCTGAAGAAATATATAATATTGGACTCAATATATTAAAAAAATACAGGGTGAGATGAAAAAACTACATCCAATTTCAGACTGCTGTCATTTTTAAACCACTGGTCCGACAGCTGTTAAAATTATACCAGTGACAGCTCATTATATTGTTTACAAGCATACAAAAGCATTTTGGTGAGAATTTTCTAGGAAAAAAGTTATTCGTCATGGAATTCAAGGGTGATAGAGTAATTTCTTCATATTTGGATGAAAAACCACAAGTGTCTATCGTTAGAGAACTCCAGCATTTAAATGTGAATAAATCTGTTGTGTCTCGTATCATCGCCCGTTACCGTGATACTGGTAGCGTAGCCTGACGTCAAGGAAGTGGACGGAAGAAAACGGCAACACCAGCAAAAATGGTTCGAAAAGTAAAGAAGCGACTTGATGGATCACCACCCGCGTCGCAGTGGCCGACAAATGACTCGTGAGCTCAACACATCGCAATATTCCATTCGGCAAATATTGGAAAATTAACTCGGGGTAAAGCCATTGAAATTCCAAACAAGTTAAAAAGCAGTAAATTCTCCAGGGCCGAACTTTGAATACCCTCCACCATTTGGAACGGATTTGGCAATTTTCTGTCATAGGCTGTAGGATGCATTACGAACTTCAAATTTGACATCTGAAATAATTTCAGTGGTTATTGTTTCTAAACTCATCAAAATACCGAATATAGGGAGGTACTGATATATGGGGCCTATACAAAGACCTGGACCTGCATAGACAATTTTCTGTCACAGACTGTAGTATCCATTTCGAACAAATACCAAATTTTAAACAATTCCGTTGAATAATGTCGCTAAAATCATCAAAATACCGAAAATCGGGAGGTACCGTTATAAGGGGGCTATTCGAAGACGCGGACCTGCACGGATAATTTTTTGTCGTAGGCTGTAGTATCTATTACGAACTTTAAATACGTAATTTGAGAAAAAATTCCGCTGAAAAATGACGCTAAAATCAACAAAATACCGAATATCGGGAGGCACCGATATATTGGGGCTATACGAAGACGTAGACCTGCACAGACAAATTTGTGTCTTAGGCTGTAGCATCCATTTAGAACTTCAAATACCAAATATGAAACAATTCCGTTGAATAATGTCGCCAAAACCATTATAATACCGAATATAGGGAGGTACCGTTATATGGGTGCTATACGAAGACATGGATCTGCACAGACAATTTTCTGTCTTAGGCTGTAGTATTCATTTCGAACTTCAAATACCGAAATTGAAACAATTCCGATGAATAATGTCGCTAAAATCATCAAAATACCGAATATAGGGAGGTACTGATATATGGGGCCTATACAAAGACCTGGACCTGCATAGACAATTTTCAGTCACTGTTCCCATTACGAACTTCAAATACGTAATTTGAAACAATTCCGGGAAATAATGTCGCTAAAATCATCAAAATACCGAATATAGGGAGGTACCGTTATAAGGGGGCTATTCGAAGACGTGGACCTGCTCAGACAATTTTCTGAGATAGGCTGTAGTATCCATTACGAACTACAAATACTAAATATGAAAAAATTCCGTTGAATAATGACGCTAAAACCATCAAAATACCGAATATCGGGAGGTACCGTTATATGGAGGCTATATGAAAACGTGAACCTACATGACCCATTTACGAACATAACCTGCTTACTGGAAAAATAAGCATTTGTGCAAAATTTTAGCCTTCTATCTCAATTCGTTCGAAAGATGAAAGACGTGAAAGACGGTCAGAGAGACAGACAAACAAAATGGTCAGAGGTCAGCTGTAAATGTGTACCTTCGGTTGGCCACCAGAACTCAAGCGCCGGCCATGGTGATGGTGTGGTTGCCGCCATAGCAGCCTATGGTTGCTCTCCGCTCGCATTAATCGACCGTGGCATCAGAATAAATGCTGAATATTATCGCGAAAATATTCTGGAGGGTGTATTAAGGATTGGGCTCGCAAACATTTTTGGCCGCAGACCTTGGACATTCCAACAGGGTTTAGCACCGTCGCACTCAGCACGCGCCACCCAAGAATGGTTCTAAATGTGAGCTTCTTCGCTTTATTTCCAGCGCACAATGGCCACCAAAATCTCCGGATACCAATCCGTTGGACTATTGTGTCTGGCGTATTTTGGAAAGCAAGGTTGGCACTGAAAAATATCAAAGTGTCGATCCCCTCAAGCAAGTGCTTCGCCGGGAATTGGGCCAAAATACCGCAGAGCAACATTCGGGCAGCGTGTGACGGTTTCATTGGCCGTTTGAAGGCCATAATTTGTGCCAAAGGTGACCAATTCGAACAAATCTAAACTTATCCCAAAATTTGATGAAATATCATCAAATACGACATATTCTGCTTCTATTCAAAAAAAAAAAAAAAAAAAAAAAAAAAAAATGAAAAAATAATGGCGTTTGACTTTGATGCAGATTTTTTATCTTACCCTGTATATTTTTATTTGTTTAGGCAATTGGTTATAAAAAATGGCAATTGGTTATAAAAAGAGGCAAAGTATTAAAAAAAATTGGTAGAATTCAGGTATGAGTGTTGCCAACACTCATACGCACCACAGGCTCATAACACTGCCTATAGCTTTTCTTTTTAATTATTAATTAATTCATTAACTAATTAACGAAATTGTTATATCGTAGACACCAAAAAGAAGCCAAACAACTTTCAGACCATTGCCACCTGGCGAAGATGTTACAACATTTATGGTTCAAGGCCATTGTCATTTGTTGTTGTATTGCCGGTACTCTGGACTTGCGTTTGGACCTGAAGCAACGCATGGTAAAACCTTTACGTCTCTGGTTGAAAGTAATTGTATATGGCCCCGCTTATTTCGGCGTTTGCATCGTACCATGGTCTCTTTGGAACAGCTTGGAAATATCAGATTCACATCTAACCAACCCCGTCGTTCGAAGTGCCAACATCGTTACGATTCTCGTGAGAATTGCCCTGTTCTTCACATTTGTCCGGGGTATCTACAAACGTAATCGGAAATTAGAAAAATGGCTGCGTCGGGCATTGGCAATGCAAAAGGCCTACTTTGATGGACTGCCTGAGCGTGAGACAACTGGTCGCAGCATTTCGCATCGCAAGTGGTTATATCTCACCAGTCTCATAACCTGCCTGCACTATGCCATGGAAACATGTTCCGAATTAGATTCCAACGAAGCTAGAAGCCTTCTCTACTTTATGGTAACCATACAACATTTTTTCATGTTAACGCATGGAGCCCTGGTGTGTTTTTTACGGGAATGCTTTTCCGTCGTGTATCACGAATTGAGAATGGAGATCTGTCGTTTCCCGGCAAGCAGAGTCTACAGCCTATTGCACGGCCTTCACAGGGACCTAAACGAAATGCATGGCCCAATAATGTTGTGTGTCCTGCTATCACTATTGCTCTCCAACTCCATGGTGGGCTATATTGGTCTACTGCAACTGCTGATGCCGAACTTTAATGGAGCCCATTTTGATTATTTATTTGGCAATGCCTTGTATGGTCTATTGCTGATCCATTGGTATATTTACTTCATGCTGTGCCAACGTATGGAAACGACCATCAAGCAAATCGATATGACACTCTATGAATATGAGGACCATGAGGACACTAAAAAAGAGGTTTGAGGTTTGTCCACTGTACTGCGGTTTTTAATTACCATTTTAATTTCAGATAGAACTGCTTGTTTTCAATCGCAGTCTAAACGAATCTTCGGTTTGTTTTTGTCAACTAATCCGGGTCAATTGGAACTCGCTTTTTTGTATTCTGGCTCAAACGGTTTCGTACATTATTACCCTTATACAATTGGATTATGTAAATTTGATATGAGTCACATGCAAAAACCTTCTCGGAATGTTGTCTTCGGAACAAAAATCTCCGATTGTAGAATAATTTTCAAAGAATAAATAAATTTGGCCACTGGGGCGTATGACAACTGACGTTACTCATACGTTGAGTGGCTCCCGGCCAAATTCAAAGTTCGTTGCCTCTTCTGAGGATATTTTTCAGTCAGAGATAATTAATTTTATTAAGTTACAATTGGGTTTCAAATGGAAAAAATCTGAGCAAGGACCCTTAACAAAAATCTATAGATATTTCTAACCAAATCCAGGCCAGAGATCCAAAGATGTTTCATAAAAGAATAGAGGATATTTTTGTATATTATAGTTACATGCAGCATTGATTAGAAAGATTTCGCCTTGGCTGAAGACAGAATTTCAGTATGACAATGTAGATATACAAATATACCTGTTACTTGGGCGTATAACTACTGGCGTTACTCATACGCAAACGTTCCAGAGTTTCTATACTTTTTGAGCAACCATATTTAGGGGGCCATATCTTTGGCAATAGTAGATGGATCTTGTTAAAACAAATTGGGTTTGAAAGCATTACTACTCCTCTTTATTACCAGGAAATAATATAAATATTGTGTTTGAAAAATTGGGGGAAAATTAAAAAAATAATTGTGTTACCCAAATTTTGAAAATTTAAAGAATTTTTAGCAACGCTCTTAATGAGATCATAACTTTTGCAGTGGTGAATGGATCTGCCCGAAGTAAATTGAGTTTGAAAGCATTACAACTCCTCTTTATTACCAGGAAATAATATAAATATTGTGTTTGAAAAATTGGGGGAAAATTAAAAAAATAATTGTGTTACCCAAATTTTGAAAATTTAAAGAATTTTTAGCAACGCTCTTAATGAGATCGTAACTTATGCAGTGGTGAATGGATCTGCCTGAAATAAACTGAGTTTGAAGGCAGCGCCTATTCCCTTTGATTTTAAAACATTGTGTTCATGTGCCCAATAAAACAGCTAGGAAAATTAAAAAATAACGATGGCACAGAATTTTTTAAAGAAATTGATTTTTTTTCGTTTCCCCGTTAAAGGGATCATTACATTTGAATAGCTGCTAGATAAGGCTAAAATGAGTTGGGTTTTGAAAGCGGGGCCTCTCTCCCTCTCAAGACCTATAATATTTTATAGGTTTGGCTAATAAAATGCTTGGAAAAATATATAATATTATGATGTTACTAAAAAAAGCAATTTTCAAATTTTTTCCGTATTGTCCATTTAGGGGTTATTATTTTTGAATTAGCTCATGGATCTACCTTTGATATGTTGGAATTTGAAGCAGTACCTTCTTCTCGTACACGACGTCAAGTATTATGGCCATTATTGCTTAAATGTCTAAGGAAATCCAAACAACTTTAGTGTTACCGAATTTTTCAGAAATTTCAGCAGTGTTTTGCGTAATGCCATTTGAAGGATCATAAATACGGAAATTGTCGCTGCATTTGACTTAATTAAGTTGGGTTTTCAAATAGGGCTTTCCTTTCTCTGAGATCACAAAAAATTATCAAATATTGCTGAAGGAATGCTACGAGAGATCTAAAAATGTAAGGCCTTCCCCCTTTCAAATTGCGCCATATTTTTTGTAGATATGATGCATGGCGTATGATTAGTGACAGCACGTATACCCACCGTGACACGTCAGCTATCATTTTTGTGGATTTTTGCGATTATAATGGACCAACCATTTTTAACAGGTTTAGTAATTAATTAATTAATCCATTTAATTACCCCTTTGGCTAAGAGACAACAAAACTATTCAGATAAACATCTGAACTTCAACTTCGACATTGGATGATGAATATTTGCTGAAACAATTTTTTGTTTTCTAATGTTGGCCAAAATTCCTAGCCCAGTTTTTGTGGAATTCGCCTAGATGTTGCAACGTTTTTGGCTCCAGACGGTTGTCGCCTTTTGCATCTTTAGCAGTGGCATTAATTTTGGTTTGGATTTGAAAAAACGACGCCTACGAAACCCCTGTCTCTACATCAAAATCTATGTCTATATAGGGGTGTTATACGCCATCGTAGTGGTGCCGTGGATCATTCCTGAAACTGTCGGCAAGTCGCATTTGTATCTAAGAAATTCTGTTGCCATCGCTGCCAATAATACAAACGCAGTGCTGCGTCTGGGTTTGCTGCTGTCGGTGGGCCTGACAATGCATCGAAGAAATAGCAACTTAAAAGAATGGTTGGAAAAAATTTTGAAAATTCAAATTGACTATTTCGATTGTTTGCCGCAGGACGGCCGAGGACCGGGATGTTCCAAGGATATTTCCCCATCGTAAATGGCTGTATCTGAGTAGTCTCATTACGTTCCTCCATTATGGCATAGAAAGCGTAAAAATGTACATGAACAGCAGTGACATGCCCGAATTTGCCGTATATCCCTTCTTTCTTTTGCTATCGACCCAACACACCTTTATGCTGATCCATAGCGGCCTGCTGGGTTATTTGCGTGAATGCTTTTCCATTTTGAATTTTCGATTGGCCGAACAACAGCTTGATCCACAAATGTGCCGGGTCTATAGTCAATTGCGCAGCATGCATGAAGAACTGAATCGAATCCATGGCTTTAGTATGCTTTGGCTAATCCTATGCCTCCTGCTCTCCAATTCCATGGTGGGTTACATTGGCCTGGTCATGCTGCTGATACCCGACATGGATGGAGACAGTTATCGTTACTTGTTTGGCAGTGTTTTCTATTGTTTTCTTTTGGTCCATTGGTACATCTATTTCATGCTATGTCAAGAGGTGGAGACCACGATCAAGGAAATTGATCTGATTCTATATGGCTGTATATCGGCGAGCGAGGATAATACAAACGAAAAGGAAGTATGAAGCGAAATTTTAGTTCAATGCCATTCAAACAGCAAATTTCTTTGAATTTTTCTTCCAGTTCGAATTACTTATCTTTTCGCGTTGCCTACACCAGCCCGCGGTGAATTTCTGCGGCATTATTGACATTAATTGGAGTTCTTTGTTCTGCATTTCAGCCCAAACGCTGTCCTATATTATAACCCTGATTCAATTGGATTTTGTGAATTTGATATGAATTACGCATTTAAATAAAGACTAAACCACATTTATTTAGAGGAGCTTGAGGTGCGTATACATGTTGTCAACACTCATACGCACCCTAGGCAGCATCTGTCCGTCTATCTCTTGTAATCACGCTGTCTTTCAAACGAATTGAGATAGAAAGCTAAAATTTTGCATATATGCATAGTTTACCGTTAGGCAGGTTAACCTCGTTAATTGGCCATGTCGGCCTACGTTTTCGTATAGGCCCCATATAACGGTACCTCCCGATATTCGGTACTTTCATGATTTCAGCAACATTATTCACCAGAGTCCTTTCAAATTTCGTATTGGAAGATCTTTATGGGCACTACAACCTATGGCAAAAATTTTCGGATGCAGGTCTACGTCTTCGTATAGCCCCCATATAACGGTACCTCCCGATATTCGGTATTTTAAGGATTTTAGTGACATTATTTACCAGAATTATTTCAAACATCGTATTGGAAGATCTTAATGGATACTACAACCTATGGCAAAAATGTTCGTATGCAGGTCCACGTCTTCGCATAGCCCCCATATAACGGCACCTCCCGATATTCGGTAGTTTCAGGATTTTAGTGACATTATTTACCAGAATTATTTCAAATTTCGTTTTTGAAGTTCGTAATGGGTACTACAGCCTATGACAAAAAAATTTGTAAACAGGTCCATGTCTTGGTTCCCATATAATGGTTTTCATTTAAGTGGTCGTTTTCGGATTTTTTTTTTTTTTTTTTTTTTGAAAAATTTCAAGTTCCTTACAAATGGTGAAGGGTATTAAAAGTTCTGTCCTGCAAAACTTAGCTGCCTATTTACTATTTTTTTTATTTTATTCAATTATTCAAAAATTTTCACCCGTTGAGTGGCAGGTAAAAGAAACGATGGGCCGACATCACGACGACCCCATTTTTTTTTCTATAGCAAAATTCTCACGACGACCGCAGGAGTATTGGATTTTTCTATAGAAAAATTCTCACGACGACCGCAGGAGTATTGGATTTTTCTATAGAAAAATTCTCACGACGACCGCAGGAGTATTGGATTTTTCTATAGAAAAATTCTCACGACGACCGCAGGAGTCTAGGATTTTTCTATAGAAAAACTCTTACGACGATCCACGTTTTATTGGTCTTAAGGTTTTCGAAAATCCACGATTATTTGAAAAAAAAAATCATGAAAAATTAACGTTTTATTGTTCTAAGGGTCCTTAAAAGATATATTTTTTAAAAATCCAAATTTTATTGGCCTGAAGATCCTTAAAAAATATTTTTTCATAAATTCACGTTTTATTTGTTTAAGGGTCCTTAATTTCTTAGAAACATCCAGGTTTCCTTGGTTTGAAGGTCCTTGAAAAAAAATTGTGTTTAAAAATCCACCGTTCATTGGTCTGAAGGTCTTTGAAAAAAAATATTGTTTAAAAATCCATGTTTTCTTCGTCTGAAGGTCCTTGAAAAAATATTTAAGAATCCGAGATTTCTTGGTCTGAAAGTCTTTGAAAAAAATATTCTTTAAAAATCCACTTTTTATTGGTCTACAGGTCCTTTAGAAATATTTTTCAAAAATCCACTTTTTATTGGTCTGAAGGTCATTGAGAAATATTTTTCAAAAATCCACGTTGCTTTGAAAAAAAAAAAATAAAAATATATTCTTTAGAAATCCATGTTTTATTGTGCTGAGGGTCCTTGAAAAAGTATTCTTTAAAAATCCACGTTTTATTGGTCTGAGGGAAAAATATTTTTCATAAATCCACGTTTCTTTAAAAAAAAACTCATCCTTAAAAATCGACGTTTTATTTTTTTAAGAGTCCTTAAAAAAGTTTCACTAAAAATCCAGGTTTCCTTGGTCCTTGAAAAGGTCTCTGAAAAAAATATTCTTTAAACATCCACGTTTTCTTGATCTGAAGGTCCTTGAAAAAATACTTAAGAATCTGCGATTTCTTGGTCTGAA